ACTCTTAAATGAATATAGATTGTTATCAGAAAAGTATACTGTAAGGGTACTGTTGGCAAGTGTGTTTCTTATAGCTGTAGTCATGTTTGGTGTGAAATTAATTCCAGTGGACAGAAACTATAGACATAAACTGCCCATGATTCTTCTCTTTATTTTGGCTCTCAATTTTCCTCTCACTTTGACATGAGTGAATGTCTTTAGGCTATTTACTTACTACACTGACTTAATTATGATTTGCCATCTTATGCTTGAAGAAGTTTGAGGGCAGTCTTCAAGATACCTCAGAGTCATCAGTTCATATTACACATATCAGATTAAGTTGTTGCCTTTAAAGTTAACAGTGTGTGACTTTGTATGTTTAAAGAAACTCTTAAGAGGAAGAGCTTACTTTATTAAACAGTGTGGATTGTGTGGCCAAGTATCCTCCTTTGAATGATGCAGGTGGACCATTTAAAAACATTTAGATTATTGATAAATTATTTATATATATATATATATTTTTTTTTTTTTTTTTTTTATTTGTGTGTGTGTGTGTGCCGTATCAGAGCCTGACGTTGCCGACCATGTACGAAGGTGGTTTCCCGTTGCCTTCCTTCGGGGCCGCCGAGGTCAAGTTCCTTGCCCATGGGATCAGCACGCCGGCCGGGAATCGAACCTTCGAACCTGGATCTGTCACGAATCCAAAGTCCGATGTTCTAACCACTGGACCACTGGACCACTTTCAGACTCTCCATTTATAATAGAGAGTCTGAAAAAGGCACTGAAAAAGTGTGAATATAGGGTAATGGGACAGGAACCATAGAAGGATTTTTAAAAATGTCTTCTTTTAAGGGGGTGGGGTGAAATATAGGGATTTATGATGTGCATTTTGTCTTGCAAACATACACTGCTGGATAATCAACTGATTTTTTCTTTAAAATGGGGAAGAGTAGTTGTTAGAAATTTTAACCATTCTGGAGAACTGGGCAATTCATGATTTTCTTCCATGAAATGGGATAGTATGTGACACAGAATGAATGAGAGAATGTTTGTGGTTTTTGTGTACAATCTTAGACTATATGTTCTCTGTATCTGTGCAAGTAATTCTTGTACAGAAAGGCCATGAAAAGCTTATGCAAGTACTTGAACTCTTGCTTGTTCAGAGGCTGATAGTTTTCTATATATTTTACAAATTTCAAGAAGGATTAAGTGTATATAGAATAACGGTATGGTAGGCAGAAAATAATACAGAGGTTTGAGATATAATGATTTCGACAGTGTTTTTAAGTGGAGTTTTAAAGGCTAGCGAGATATCTTTAAGTTTACAAAGAAGTCATAACATGTTTATATTTGGAATGTTTATATTTCAAAAAGAAATTAGTTTTGTTTTGTTTACATATCACAATTTTAGTCTCAGAGTGCATTGTGATGGATGGATAGGTTACTGTTGATATAGTTATTATTATTATTATAAAACTTTTCTTAATTTTTCTTTTTAATTAATAGTATTTATCAAGTGGTCTTGATTATGTAATGATAATTATTTAGGTTCTGTATTTATAGACAAGGAAATTTGTAAACTTTGTTTTTGAGAGGGAGCGTTTTATCCTGTAAAATCTGCCAATGAGCATGAAATTACAGTGGTTGTTAAATTTGTAAGGAAAACAAATAAAAGTTTTATGTTAACTTTACAGGTTTAATTGCCCAAAATTACATAAAGTAGATATGTGAAAAACAGTTCATAAGTGTCAGACAAAGTATCTTGATTAGTCATTAGTTGGTTTTAATGCTGTCAAAGGGCATGAAATTTCATGTGAGTGTGAGTTGAGTGAGTGAGTTGGTTAGTTTACATGTACACAAAGACAGACACACACACATACACACACACATATATCAAATATATATATTTATATATATTTAATATTTATATGCATATGTATGTATATATACAGTATACACACGCACACACACACACACACACACACATATTAAATGATACTGAAGAACTTAGTAACTAGATAACAGAAGAAGTAAAAATTGCCATAACAAAGGCAAAAAACAAAAAAGCATACGGTCCTGATGAAATAACGTATGAATTCTACAAACAAGCCTCAAATAAATTCAATCAAAACATACAGAGAATCATAAACTATTACTGGTCCAATGGACAGTACTCAGAATATAAAAAAAATGCCTTAATCAATTAAAACATTTAAACTAAATAAAACCCCACAGATGCATATGTATGTATATATACAGTATACACACACACACACATATTAAATGATACTGAAGAACTTGGTAACTAGATAACAGAAGTAAAAATTGCCATAACAAAGGCAAAAAACAAAAAAGCATACGGTCCTGATGAAATAACGTATGAATTCTACAAACAAGCCTCAAATAAATTCAATCAAAACATACAGAGAATCATAAACTATTACTGGTCCAATGGACAGTACTCAGAATATAAAAAAAAACTAAATAAAACCCCACAGATGCAGTCAATAATAAATCAATAATGCATAAAATAGTGAAACTTGGTGCTAATTTCCTTGGCCAAATGTGTTCAAACTCCATATTTCCTATAGACACATGATAAATTAATAACTCCTGCATTGTTTCTCAAATGTCATTTACAGGACACTTTCACTCTCTTTCTCCTTTCGAAGAGTAACACATATTAAATGATACTGAAGAACTTGGTAACTAGATAACAGAAGTAAAAATTGCCATAACAAAGGCAAAAAACAAAAAAGCATACGGTCCTGATGAAATAACGTATGAATTCTACAAACAAGCCTCAAATAAATTCAATCAAAACATACAGAGAATCATAAACTATTACTGGTCCAATGGACAGTACTCAGAATATAAAAAAAAACTAAATAAAACCCCACAGATGCAGTCAATAATAAATCAATAATGCATAAAATAGTGAAACTTGGTGCTAATTTCCTTGGCCAAATGTGTTCAAACTCCATATTTCCTATAGACACATGATAAAATTAATAACTCCTGCATTGTTTCTCAAATGTCATTTACAGGACACTTTCACTCTCTTTCTCCTTTCGAAGTGAAATGAACAGCACTTGTTCACATCTTCAGGAACTCTTTCCATGTTCCTGTTTGGGTCCGGTTTTTCTTCCTTCTCTGAAAAAAAAAAGAAATTAATATCTAGAAATTAACCATCTGACAAAATAATCCCTAGCATTATTACCAAAAGAATAAGACATGTAATTAGAATAATATGGATTTGGCAAAGGTAGTTTTGACATTTTTGTTATAAGGAGATATTTAATGCTGAGAGCATATTAATTTTGCAAATGTGATACTGGCAGTAATAATCATCATTCACACATGCACACATACATATATACATGTGTGTGTGTGTGAGAGAGAGAAAGTCTGCATGTGTTTGTCTGTGTGTATATCCACATGTTTAAGTAGAAAAAAAAAATTCTTACCTTTTTTGGGTTTCGCCCACTGGTTTGTCGTCCAGCACATCTTGTTTCTGAAAAAAACAAAGGAAATTAATAGTCTAACATATTTTTTTACTTTCTTCCTATTTTTTTTCTACGTGTCTTAGTTGTGGTTTCACTATTGCTGGATTATGATCACGAACCATCTGACACAATAATCCCAAGGCCTTAAAATTACAACAATATATATTTAGCAGAGGTATTTTTGTCATTTTTGTTACATGAAGATATGTCTAATGCTGAGAGCAAATAAATTTTGCAAATGCGTTACTGGCGTATTTTTTAGAAAACGATATGAAAGTAAACTCATCTATCCTGTACTTATATAGGAACTGATAATGATTTAGCTGAATGCAATATGGTCCCTGCATTAATAATAATTATAATGTGCACACACACACAC